GACAGACAGACAGACAGACAGACAGACAGAGAGAGAGAGAGAGAGAGAGAGAGGAGGAGAGAGAGAGGAGAGAGAGAGAGAGAGAGAGAGAGAGAGAGACAGAGACAGAGACAGAGACAGAGACAGAGACAGAGACAGAGACAGAGACAGAGACAGAGACAGAGACAGAGAGAGGAGCGGGAGAGCTTTAGTTTTTGATATACTGTTACCTTGAACGCCGTGCGATTTATTAATCAGTTGAGTTATAGTTCCTGACAAGTCCTCGATCCTTGTGGGGTTGCAAATGTCGAGCAGTGAGTCTGGGAAAAAGGAGCCAGGTAGAAACAATATCGTTACAATTGATCGTCTGCAAAATCATTCTGCGCCGAGTTTTTTTTCAGTAATTCAGCTACCAATTCTCGTGCTGTGTTCAAAGAGACGTTTACAGTGAGGGTCGAACTTAGAAAAAACGAACTTTAGGTAATGTTTGGTTGTTATTTTTCTGTTTTTTTTTTTTTACAATTTGGCAATGTCTCAAATCATTACACAAACTACAGGATCTTCCGTAAGTAGGCCATTTCTGTTTTTTTTTCAGCCATCACTGCTCTTGGAATGACGGGGGCGCTGGCTCATGCAACCGGAAGGGATCTCGGGGATGTGCTTACGGGTAAGTGTCATTTGAGAACAAAAACAAAAATGGATGTGAATGGTAGTGATTTGTCATTTGGCAATGCGAACCTAATGATGGAATGAGAATTATTAGGCATCGACACCATCGGGCTGTCCCTATTTCTGTCGATATTTTCTTTTTAAACAAAACAATGATTTGCCCATAGTACGCTAAAGCTAATCTTTATGCCGAAACACTATCTATCTTCTCTAAGAACAGTTCGCCTCTTTAAAACGTTCGACCATTTTTCAGGTGGCGTCGAAGTGGTTGCCATGGCGACCGAGGTTCTTCTGCTGCACACTTCTGCGGGTGGATTTTGGACGTCTTGTTACCTGGTTTGTGTCCTGCTTAGCTGCTTTTGCGTAGCTGTATGGACTGCTGAAACCACAGTCATGGCAGTCTGGGATCTGCTGCCTCAAACGCCCAGGTATGAAACACATTATCGTATACATTGTGTCTGAATGCTAATGCTCATTAATGTACAACTCAAATATGCTGCCCTGCATATTTTTAGATGTTCCTATAGTTAATAAGGTGTTTAAAAAGTGCACAAGTTTTGAATGCGTCAATTCCTATAGTCCAATTTTTCAACCCTCGCCCGCACATGGGGGGCTGCCACCCCCAGGTAGTTTTTCTGCTCTGCACTCAGCATTTTTTTAGAGCTAGAAGCCTGATCTTTCGTATAGCTGCCCCTCTATCCTTTCTTGATGTCCACTGAAAATTTCAAGTTTCTGTCGTTTTTGGTTTCGGAGATATGACCTTGTTACCTGGTTTGTGTCCTGATTAGCTGCTTTTGCGTAGCTGTATGGACTGCTGAAACCACAGTCATGGCAGTGAATAAATATCATAATGTCTGACACGATACATACATGACCTTTTTCTTCAGGTCATGTCATGACCCAAATGACAAATATCAAATATCTTGCGTTGGCTATGGGCTAACTTGACTTGAAATGACCTCAGCAACAAAAACCTGGTCGGATAGTGGGCCAAACAGGTTTTAGCTGCCTGGGCACCAGAATTCGGCATCGTCATCGGTGTATGATGAGCAGCGCACTTGATATCCAACGGTTACCCAAAACAGCAACCTTTTTTAGTTTGACCTGGCCTTGAAGGTCAATGACTGACCTGAGAATGTAACACTGGGTATCATTGGATTTGTCTCTTCCCAAAGAATCTTTATGGTCCTTACCAGGGCTGCGGAGTCGGAGTCGGAGTCGGAGTCGGAGTCGGTCGGAGTCGACAGTTGTGACCGGAGTCGGAGTCGGAGTCGGAGTCGATTTTAGAAACCCGAGCCGGAGTCGGAGTCGGAGTCACCGAAAATCTGTCGACTCCGCAGCCCTGCTAGGTCTGCGGAGTTGGAGTCGGGAGTTGGAGTCGGTCGGAGTCGACAATTCTGCCCGGAGTCGGAGTCGGAGTCGGAGCTGGTTTTTGAAAGCCGGAGTCGGAGTCTGAGTCGGAGTCGCCGAAAATCCATCGACTCCGCAGCCCTGGTCCTTACTGCGAAGCTCTATCTCCAACAGGAACGAAATGGCGCGGGGGGTGGTACCCCCCCCCCTCCCTCATGTGCGTTCTAGGATGGTAAAATGGCAGGTGCGGGCGAGGGTTAAAGAGAATATCCCATCAACGGTTCTCTGTCGCTTTTTGCAAAGGTCTTTTACTTGTTGCATCAAGCAACATAGGTTCAGCCCACCGCTAAAGTAATGTGCGGTTTTACCAATCTCAACGGATGGCTTTGACGGACGATTTTTTAAGGCGGAGTGATCGAAAAGAAGGCTCCAATGGAAAACGTTGCAGCTGCAAGGCAGCAAGGGTGACGATACATGTAAGCAACATTCAAAGTTTTATTGTAGTCTAGCTAATCGTTCCTAAGCTTCAGAAGCAGAACATACCAATGACTGAAACCGCACATTACTTCTGCTTTGGACTGTACCTACCTGAGAAATGTGTGCGTCTTTGAGAACATAAGAACACACTGCAAGTTATCCCTCGCCGGACCTATTAGTTTTCTACATACGCGCCGGCCGAGGGGGGGGGGGGGCGGGTACGACCCCCCCTCGCCGTTTCGCCCCTGGTTGAGCTAGCGCGTCGCGGAAAAAACGAGCGTGTGCGCCGTTACGAGACGCAGAGATTGGTATCCGATTTTAAGGTCCTAGGTCAACCGGTGACCTCTGAGGTCAGGTCAAGTGCCCCAAGGTACGGTTCAGTTTTTGGTGAATAACTTCGCAAAAAACGGCCGCAGAGCCGCGATTTTGGCAGCATCGTGTTCGCCTTGATCAGGCGCGTCGAATGATATACTTTTTGTCCGGGTCAGGTCAACTTGGGATGTTGACCTCAGGTCAAGGTCAGGTCAGCACCCCCAGGTCACGAAGTTGGTCGAAAGAGGTCATGTCGCATATCATTCGATTCGGCAGGTCTTCCTGAGTCCATTGGTGGCTTTCCCGACTCGCTAGCTCAATTTGATCGGGAGTTATTGACAAAAAACTAATATGACCTTGATGACGTCATAAATGACGTCACGCAAGGTCAACATTGCAAAAGTGACGCATCTAACCTTGCAAGGAGTGCATCAAATCACGATTCTGTGTGCTTGAGATAGTTGGAGATCGTTCCCGGCGCCAGAATAGCAGTTTGAATTTTTCCCCATTGACTTATAATGGTGAGGTCACGAAAATGACCTGACCTCATATGACCTTTAGGAAAAATCCGAGATATACAAGTTGTGAGACTCATAATGCATACTAGATCCTGCAAGTTTCATTTCCCTGTGACATCTCCTCTGGCAGTGAGGGCGTTGCGAAGTTGCGACATCTGAAGACCGTGCAGAGGTTCACTTATGACGTCATAGGTCAGTGACCTGACCTGACCCAAAAATGCAGTTGGTGTCAAAAGATGCGGCTTGGATCAAAGGTCAGGTATGCCAAGTTTCAGCTCTCTATCGCCAGCGTGTTCGGAGCCATCGCGAAAAAACCCTGTGGGGGGGCGGCAGCCGCCCCCCCCCCTCGGCCGGCGAGGGTTATACTAATGATGGACAGTAAACGATTGTTGTTTTGATAATTTTTCTCTATGATTTTCAGATTTCGCCAGCTGCTTCGAAAGCCCGCTCTGGCCGCGGTGTTCGGGCTCCCTTGGCTCGGCTACAGCATTGGATACTGCAACAAGGTATGATAAAATTACTGCACCACCACATGCGTGCACTAAACTTTATATTTGGTTGGCTAGGAACTGCGGTTTAGGTGGCAGGTTTGTTGTTTTGTGTTGTATGTTGTATGTTGCAGGTTTTAGGCTAGGTCAGGTTAGAATAGGTTAGGGTAGGTTAGTTGTTAGGTTAGGTTAGGTTAGATGCCAGTAAAACGCCTTTTGGGCGAAGAACGAGCAAGCGAGATAGTGAGCCCTGCACATGCGGAATGGCGAGAGGGTACTTCCAACGGGCTTGTGCAAAGCACCCCTCTAACCGGTCGCTAGCGGTGTGCCAAATTTGAACGCAATTTACAAACATTTACCTTTTTTAAGAAAAAAACCATTTAGTTACATCAATGAAACTTGATATGAAAATGAAATTTGAAATGAAATCGAAATGAGCTTAAATGAAAATGACATCAATGAAATTTGACCAAAGACGTCAAATTGATGATGGAGAAAAGGCGTACGAAGTTTAAAATTGTTAGCGAAAGCGGCTGGATAGTTATTCCAGAAAATTGGAGGGGGAGGGGGTCGGATCCGGATTAATTTGCATTCTTTATTTTTCATTTCATTTGGTAAATAAGAAATCATTTGTAACCTAACCTAACCTAACCTACAACATACAGCCGTACACCAACACCATAAAGAAGGATTGGCATACCGACCAAATACCAAACTGGTATCACTTTGGTATCGGTGAACACAAAAGTTGGTATCCAATCGGTATCTCCACACAGCACTCTTCAGCTTCATTTTTCTTTTCTTTTCACAGAACGGCTGGACTACTGTGACTCGAGCGGGACAGGCAGTTTTCGGGAACTTCACCATGATCCTTATCTGTATCCTCGAATGTGCCGCCATCGCTGCCGTGTTCGGAGCTCGACGATTCCAGACGTGCTGGTCGGCCATGCAGGGCAGGTTCTGCGGATGTCCCTACCCGCTGCTGTTCTGGGGAATTATCACACCGATTGGTTTGACGGTAAGGAATTTTATGACGTCAGTGGGTATGTTATTTTATGACGTCAGTGGGTATGATGGTGGGTTCTGTTCGCTGCTGTTCTGGGGAATTATCACACCGATTGTGTTGATGGTAAGGAACGGGATGATGCTACTGCATATGGTTTGTTTGTTTTGTTTATTAGGGTTTACGGGCGCGTCGACTGCGGTGGTCATTTTGCGCCCATAGCGCTGTTACTGGTAAAGGGGATATGTCAACAGGGAACTGACGAACTGAAGAAGGCTAGAACTAGTTGAGATACGTTGTTCTAGTAAAACGAGTATATCACAGGAAAAATGATGGATTGGATGTAAGAAAAGATGCTGCCGAATAAAACCCAGGGTGAGTCGTCACCCAACAGGTGGCGGATGGTGGTGCCTGGGGCAATGATCCTTTTACATGTTGACACGGCTCTACTATCAGAAGACAAACCTTTGAAAACGCACATATCCTTCGCCCTGGTGGGGGGGGGGGCCATTTTGGCCCCCCCTGTGGTTTTTCAGCGATAACTCAGAAACCACTTGAGTTAGCGCCCTGAAACTTTGTATAGCTGTTTATTCAACATTTTTACATCATGTCCTTTTTTGGGGGGTTCGGGTCAGGTCAGGTCAGGTCACAAGGTCACCAAAACTGACACCACCTCTAAAAAAGTTCAAAGCTCTCTCAAAGGCACAGCTTTTATCCGATCGATGTAAAATTTACAGTACTTGAAGATGTCACCCAGCTCTACAAAATGGCTATCTCGGATTTTTTATAAATGTGACCTAAGGTCAGGTCAGGTCATCGCTGCTCCCCATTATAAGTCAATGGGAGAATCGAAAAGTAGTTGTTTTTCAGCTAAATCGGGCGTGATTGTTCCTATATTTCGTTATTGAAGTGTCTTGGGTCAGCAAATCACAGCCCATGTGAAACCATTTGCTTGTGACCTCGCTGAGGTCACGCTAGGTCATCTCCCTGGTCACCAGAGGTCACCAGCGGTTTTTCTGCACTTACTTGTTATTGAATAGAGATAGAGACTCCGTTCGACGTTTATCGTGTTTGTCTCGTCAATGCGGATCGAATGATATGCAGCATGACCTATTTCGGTAAGGTCATGACCTTGACCTGAGGTCAAATTTTCAAAATGACCTTTCGAGGTCAAACTATATATCATTCGACGCGTCTCGACGAGCCAAGCACGATGGTGCATGAATCGTTTCTCTATTTTCTCGTGAATGCATGCTATAGTTAAAAACATTTTCAACGAAATTTGCCAAGTTGACCTTGCATGACCTCTGTAGGCCAAACCGTTGAGCTGAGGTCAAATCTGACCAACCTTGGCGAAAGAGCTTGAAAAGAGCTATCGATTGCTTTTTTCCGCGGCTCTCTAGCTCTTCTAGTTTCCGAGCTACAGCGGAATATGTCCGGCAACACCGAAAACACTGAAATTTGACCTATGATGACCTCTAGCGACCTCAATATTGACCTTAGCGAAAAAATGACCGAAATACTTTCGAACGTACTTGTTATGGGCTTTCGTTTGCTTTTTTCCGCGTCTTCCTAGCCCTCTTCGTTTTCGAGTTAGACGGGGGGGAGTCATTTTGGCCCCCCCCCCCCCCCACCAGGGCGAAGGTGGCTCAGACCCACACCAGGGCGCGGGATATGATGTGCATTGCAAAAGTGAAATAGTTTTTTAGTTGGTGTCGAGTTGAAGAGTTGGATTTTTATGTCTATGGGATCACTTTAACCCTCGCCGGCCGAGGGGGGGGGGGGGGCGGGTGCCGCCCCCCCCCCCATAGGGTTTTTTCGCGATAGCTCCAAACACGCTGGCGATAGAAAGCTGAAACTTGGGATACCTGACCTTTGATCCAAGCCGGATCTTTTGACACCAACCGCATTTTTGGGTCAGGTCAGGTCACTGACCTATGACGTCATAAGTGAACCTCTGCACGGTCTTCAGATGTCGCAACTTCGCAACGCCCTCACTGCCAGAGGAGATGTCACAGGGAAATGAAACTTGCAGGATCTAGTATCCATTATGAGTCCCACAACTTGTATATCTCGGATTTTTCCTAAAGGTCATATGAGGTCAGGTCATTTTCGTGACCTCACCATTATAAGTCAATGGGGAAAAATTCAAACTGCTATTCTGGCGCCGGGAACGATCTCCAACTATCTCTAGCACACAGAATCGTGATTTGATGCACTCCTTGCAAGGTTAGATGCGTCACTTTTGCAATGCTGACCTTGCGTGACGTCATTTATGACGTCATCAAGGTCATATTAGTTTTTCGTCAATAACTCTTGATCAAATTGAGCTAGCGAGTCGGGAAAGCCACCAATGGACTCAGGAAGACCTGCCGAATCGAATGATATGCGACATGACCTCTTTCGACCAACTTCGTGACCTGGGGGTGCTGACCTGACCTTGACCTGAGGTCAACACCCCAAGTTGACCTGACCCGGACAAAAAGTATATCATTCGACTCGCCTGAGCGAGACGAACACGATGCTGCCAAAATCGGCGCTCTGCGGCCGTTTTTTGCGAAGTTATTCACCAAAAACTGAACCGTACCTTGCGGCACTTGACCTGACCTCAGAGGTCACCGGTTGACCTAGGACCTTAAAATCGGGTACCAATCTCTGCGTCTCGTAACGGCGCACACGCTCGTTTTTTCCGCGACGCGCTAGCTCCACCAGGGGCGAAACGGCGAGGGGGGGTCGTACCCGCCCCCCCCCCCTCGGCCGGCGCGTATGTAGAAAACCAATAGGTCCGGCGAGGGTTAAGATGTATCGTTTGTATTGGTGTGCCGAGGGGAGGGGGCTGCGCTCCGGCCGTTAAACATTAAGTAAAGTGGGGACATTTGCGCTAGCGCTGTCAGCACCGTGAACATTCTAAACAACAAATGCAGTAATCCCATCAATCAGCGTAAGTCAATACTTGACGCTCATTGGCTGATAATGACGATTTTGGGGGCCAGAGCGTTAGTCCTCGCCGGCACAGGGGTTGATGCAACCCCCATCCCCCTAAAGTTTTTCGCGAATAGCTCGCGTAAAAAGCGGCCGATCGCAACAAAACTTTCAGTACCCTGGCATTGATCAATTGTACACCTACCCTGAAAATTTCATGACCTTGACCCAAAGACCTTTGACCTGTGACATCTTTTCCGAGACCATGTTTGGCCGGAAGCGCGATTCGGCGTATGTCGGTTCGCATTAGCCGCGCGTTTGCAAGCTTTTCGTGGTTTCAAACGTTCAAACATGTGATTTGATGTTGCTCCCATGCATTAGGGTGGGTGTCAAGGTCACCTGAGGGTCAGGTCAGGTCATTGACCTTTGGTGACCTCGTTTCACTTTTTCGAGTTTTACATGTTTCTAGGCTAGTTTTTGGAGCTGAATTCGAATTTAGCAACCATTTGAACATTTACGAAGTAGTTTTGGTGCCTTCGTAACATGTTGCGAAGCTGTCAGAGGCAGTTGACACGTATTACGAATACCCGTCACGACCCCTACCAGTTGACCTGACCTGACCTGACCGGACCTGGTCTAAATGCTTAAAGACATCATCTCTGATCAAAACTAACACGATATCCGTGATCAGCTCCCCGGAAAACCCCATAGCAGCCACACTTTACGACTTTCTATCAGGTCCCGATTTTCCCGATTTTCGGGTCATTGACCTGACCTGGAAGGTCACCCGATGACCTAGGACCTTAAAATTGGGTATCATCGGCTTCCTCTCGTGACGGGCAACACGCTCGTTTTTCCGCCAAGCTCTAGCTCGATCAGGGGCCAAACGTGAGGGGGGTCGTACCAACCCCCCTTGTGCCGTCAAAGGACGCAAAATGGCCTGTGCCGGCGAGGGTTAGAGGTAACGATTACAACACGGGCCGCTCAGTTTATGACTTGATTTTGATGTTATTTTTGTCCTCACTTTTTTGTCGGGAGCGTTCTTCTTGGTTTACACAGCCTTGGGTGTGCCGTTGACTCTTCTTTCATTCGGCAGGTGCTACTGATTCTCTCTTTGGCCTCGGTTCATCCAATCATGAATCTTCTTGGTCTGACGTCATTTGTGCTCTCACTGCTATTGGTCGTCATATCGGCGTTGGTTTTGCTCTTCACTAGACCAGGACCGATGCGACAGGTATGGATCAGACTGGAGTCTGGACAGACTGGATGGACTGGATGGACTGTACAGACTGGGCTGTATATCTAGACTGGACTGTTCAGACTGGGCTGTATAGACTGGACTGGACAGACTGAACCTGCAGACTTGGCAGATTGGACAGACTAGATTGTACAGACTGGAAAGACTGGGACAGATTGGACTGGACATGCCACATAGTCTGTACTGGACAAGCTACAACTGACGGTTTTGACGTTCCGTACCTACTTTGCAATCTTCTCTTCAATATAATTTCCTGCGCCCACTGTGCACTCTTGTTTGCCTCGAAAATCATGCTGTCATTGACATTTTTTCCTATATCTTACTGTGCATCGTCTACAATAAGAATATTGTTTAACTATTGTGAAAAAAATGACAAACAAAAAATGGTGCCACCTGTTTCAAAAGTGATGCAACTTTTACAGGTGCACTGTAGAACAACCAGACCTGCTTACACCGCGATTTATTTCAGAAATGGCGCATCATGACCACCCCGTGGGACCTGGCGCCACATCAGATGCAGCCGACATACGGGAGATACGAGACGTTTACCATGGCTGGAGTGGCACACTGAGTCAGCGGTCGTCTGAAGATACTGTCATGACAAAGCAGGCGACTGTCATGACATTTGACTTTCAGAGCTATGACTTTGATTTGTCACAGTCTTAAGTCATTTTCAACACCATGACTTTCCGCTATCGTAGGATCAACTGTCACGATATCAATGGAAGTTGTAACTGCCGTCGCACATTTGACTTTCCGCTATCGTAGGATCAACTGTCACGATGTCAGTGGATGTGACTGCCGTCGCACTATAGATAGACTCATAGATGACTGATAGCTCATATGCTGGTAATTTACTAGTAATATACTAGTAATATGCTCATATGCTAGTAATATTACAGGGACTGTGCCCCGTGGTACCATTAACTTCGCATTTGACTGAATACTCTGTCATGCCGCGAGCATTGAACTCGAATTTGACTCAGGAACCCTCATGGCGTGGTGTAAATTACTAGCATGCAGCTGAAGACTATGCGTCATGTCATCTCCGGTCCTTTCATAGTGTGAGACATACCACCCGCAGAGCAGCCAATGCTATTCTGCGAGAATGGTTTCCGCATGTGACCGATGCTAAATCGCATTAATCACAATCGCAATGTAACTCACATGTAGACTCTGCCGTAGTGCGTAGTGGTACTTAGTAGGAAGGATCTGAAAGAAATGTGGAGGTAACTCAACGCAGATGAGACTGGTAGAAAACCGTCGTTGGACCAGCGTGAACCTCGTCGAAAAAGTAGCTCCCGAAATCGAATCGAAAGGCTGATTGATCAACATTTCACTCAGAACTGATGTACATACTTGTCTGATATAAACGTCTTTTTGTAGTTTTTTTTTTCTTGTACCTTAAAGAAATAAAACAGCTATGTGCTCATTGCAGCTTTGTTTGTTCTAATGCAATGCTACCCTATGTCTATAATCGTATAATCATCAATTGCTTCCCTTGTATTCAACATACGAGAAAATTGACAACACTATTGCCGGCTGGGTCATTTATGACCCAAGGATATTTATCGAGGAAAAAAAGTTATCCGATGGCGACAAGAAGGGCAAAAATATACATCATGTCTTTTTCAGACAAATTTAGATGCCAGGTGGACGATCATTCAATAGATAGTAAAGTTCAAACATAACATAATATTACTTTTTGGGACGGCGCGCCATTGCCAGTGACCGGCGGCTGTGCAGTCCCGTCGTCTTGGGCTCCAGCAACTTCAGTGGACGAGCTCACACGAGTTTTATGCGGCTCCGACGCTCGTCGCTGAACCCACAAATCCAACAAAACACACGCACAAGTTCCTCAAAGTGCCACTTGCCTCCATTTAGAAAAAATGTTAAGATGTTGCTTTTGGGTCATATATGACCCAAGCGGCATTAATGGGTTAACACGCCCCCTGTAGGGGGGGGGGCGAAACGGCCCCCCTGTCCTTTTCCGTCGATATGTCCTAAGCGGCTGCAGATATCGCCACTAATCTTTCAGGACCCCTCCGGGCATCAATTTTACACATTGTGACCGAACATTTTTTCAGAGGCTATGATAGGTTGGCCTCAAATGACGTCAGAATGACGTCATGTTCTGCCATTTTCTACCGAAAATAGAGCTTCGGGAGAAGAGCTGTCAGGCCTACAGCTTTGAAGATACAGAAAAATGATCAAGACATAACAGGTGTAGAATTGACAGTGCTACAAGACTGCTATCTCGGATTTGTGAAAGTTTAGAATTTCGACCCAAAAAAATAAAAAGTATGTTTTGGATATATTGGCGCTTAAATTTTTTTTTTTAGTTTGAAAAACGTAATCTGTATGATAGCAGCTACCGTCTTCAATCTGCATACCAAATTTCAGATCGATATCTCTTTTTTGGCCAAGTTATAGCGAAAAAAATGCTCAAAACTGGTGACGTCAAATATTTATACTCTTTTTTTTTTGGCAATTGTAGACCACGTAGGGCAAAACAAAGACCACCATTAGACTCCCCGTGACGAGCTGCATCGAATCGGTATCCATCTTATGCAAAAATATTAACTTGGAAAGTTGACCTAATTTGACCTGACCTTGAACTGACCTTCACCAGAACGTAACCTAAGCTGCCCTCAAAGGCTGCCTGACCCACATACCTAATCGCATTTTTCATGTAAAATGGACCATAAAACATGCATCATACGACACTTTCATATTGTGACCCCCAGTGACCTGACCTCTGTAACCTGACCTGGTATCAGTGACCTCAGATAGCAAAGTATGTGTTTGACGAACAATATACCATCGATGGTTTTCAATAACTTACAAATTTACTCGATTTCAAAACACATTCCTTGAAATGCCTGTAACGTTGAAAATCCGACGTTTGACCTGACTTGTGACGTCATCGGTTTGACCTAGGCCAATGAAATTTGGTCACGGGGTAGTTCTACGGTGGGGCTATTGAACGCCGTTTGAATTTTGAAAATCGGCTGGTAAGTTTTCGAGATCTTAGGGGGGCGGAACGCCCCCCCCCCCCCACCCCGGATGGTAGTGTCCGCCGGTAGCCCTACGGGGCGCGGGTTTTAACCTTCGCCCCAGTGGGGGGGCATATGTTACCACCCTGTCGCGTTTTTTGCGTGTGAATAAAAAACCGCGGCGCGTAGCGCCGCGCCGCTTGGGGTAGCTTTTGGTACATCAATTTTGGACAATGTGTGAAATTTTTGACCCCAGGTCATGTCAGGTCAGGTCACCAGCTCAAGTTAACTGACCAAGCCTAAAAAAGTTTGCAATCATGTCCAGCCTGCAGTGTTTGTCAGAAAGGTTTAAAGCTTGGTGAATTGCATGCTGTTATGGGCGCCTATAATTTGTATATCTCGGATTTTCTATATCCGTGACCTAAGGTCAGGTCAGTGGCGTGACCTTTCAATTACAAGTTAATGGAGAAAAATGAAAATGCCTCTAGATCCGTGTGTACGCATCGGAACAGTCCAAATATTTCAGAATCACAATGATTTAGTCCACTCGTGATGACCAAGGTGTCATTTTTGCTGATAGCCTCTAGACAGGTCATCCGAGGTCACTTGAGGCTACAAACAGTTTTTTGCCAATAACTCGCGATTGGAAAGAGATAGAACGCTGGGGATGGTCTCATTGTGTTTTTCTTGTTGAGACGCATCGACTGATATGCAACATGACCTTTTCCGGTCAGGTCATGACCTTGACCTGAGGTCAAATTTTCAAGTTGACCTTTCAAGGATAAATTAGAGTTAATTCGACGCGTCTCGGCGAGGGGAACACGATTCTGGCAATATAAATGTCGTGGCTTTTTGTAGTCGAAAGTTATTGTCGAAAAACACTTTTCGTAAAAACAGCTATTTTTGGAGTTTTTGCCCTCTGGAGGCTAAACCGTTGACCTGAGGTCAATATTGATAATGACCTTTTCAAAAGAAGAGTTCAAAAGCTATCGTTTGCTGTTCCATGCGTTTTTCTAGCTACCATAGTTCCTGAGATAGCGGCATGTTTTCTGAAAGATATAATGACAATTGGCAAATTTTGACCTTTGATGACCTCTGGTGACCCCAATATTGCTCTAAGGTGAAAAATGACCGAAATACTTTCAAACGTACGCATTGAGAGCTATCGACTGCTTTTTACCGCGTCTTTCTACCCCTCTTAGTGTTTGAGTTAGAGGTGGGTGGTAACATATGCCCCCCCCCCCCTCACTAGGGCGAAGTTGGCTGAGACCGCCACTGCACGCTGGGCCGGCGGACCGGAAAAGCGCTAGAAATACCCCCAAGAGTGACTTTCCACAATATGAACAAAATACGTATCATTCGATCCCAAATTGATCAAAGCATACGATTCTGATGCCATTTTTGCCCTAAGGTCGAAATTGAGGTGGTCAGTTGTCACCAAACACAAGACTATTTAGACCCGCTAGTGGCCACCACATTTGCCGATTTTAATGCTAATCTTTAGTTGATATTTATTAGTTGACCAGTTGTCGTTTTGAACGCATTTTTCTGTCAGACTAGTTCAGGGCACTGTTGTTCACTGTACCAACAACATTCTTACATATTGCATCGCTTTTTTGCAAGATAAGCTAGCTTTTTGTAAGCAGCTGCAAGACCATAATAAAAATCATATCTAAATTTTTAAATAGACTTTTATAAAAACGTTATTTCGAGCGGCTAAAAATGAACATCCTATACTAGCCTCTAATTACTCATCTTTCGTTCCATATAGGTGCTTTGCTGCTTTTCCCTGCTACTTTTCGAGATATGCGCCAGTAAACCATATGATGTAGGGGCAATTGTCACCTCGCCGCTCTACTGACGGCCCGGCGCTCTTTAAAGCGCTGAAATTTATGAAAAACAAATGCTTATAATCTGAATAAAATATATGTCCCTGAGCTCAGAATTGATCAACGCACACAATGCTGTCAAAAGTTTTGGGCCAAAGTCAATAATTAAGTCATTATGAACCCACAAACACAAGTCAGTGATAATCAACAACAACTTGCTCTTTAGTTAGACTTTTTGAGAAATGTTATTTCGAGCCGCTAAAGATGAGCATGTCATGCAAACAACTAGTCAATTGTCTGCCATGCCCTATTGACGATTATTGCCTATTACTGCTACTTTTCGAGATATCGTCTGCTTAGTCACCTGAAATAGCTGCTATGCCATCCTTCCGCGGTAGCAGCTATATCAGGTGACTTAGCAGACGATATCTCGAAAAGTAGCAGTAATAGGCAATAATCGTCCATAGGGCATGGAAGACAATTGACTAGTTGTTTGCATGACATGCTCATCTTTAGCGGCTCGAAATAACATTTTTCAAAAAGTCCAACTAAAGAGCAAGTTGTTGTTGATTATCACTGACTTGTGTTTGGGGGTTCATAATGACTTAATTATTGACTTTGGCCCAAAATTTTTTAAAGCATTGTGTGCGTTGATCAATTCTGAGCTCAGGGACATATATTTTATTCAGATTATAAGCATTCGTTTTTCATAAATTTCGGCGCTTTAACCCATTTACGCCCTTCGTTGCGTTTTCGCAACGCAAGCAAGCGTCGACGTGATCGAAGCTTGAGAAGTGTGTAAAAGAGACTCACCGATGAGACAAGTTTCAGCGTGTGTAGCATGGTTGTGCGCATGATGCTACGCAGTTACAAGTCTGTGCGGCCGGTAAGTTACTGCCTAGAGCTCCCAGAGTGAAGTCGAATGTTTTGTGAGTGATGACGTCACGAAAAACAAGATAAGTAGGCTAAGTGCTTAATAATATCGTAATGAAAATTGTGCAAACATATTCTGCAGAGTCCCTACAATAGCGTAGATATGCATTTTGTTAAGAAATAATGCTACAAAAAGGGTTTGTGACTATTTTCAAATATGACTACGGTCGCGTTGCGGGAACGCAACGAAGGGCACATCGGAAAGACAGCGGTGTTGCGAAAACGCAACGATGGGCACATTGGCAGGGTAGCGGAAGTATGAATATCAACAATAGACTTCACTCGTGATACGCTATGGGTTCTCTCTTTCTCTCCCCCATCTTCCTCCCTCTCCTCCTCGTTCCCCAACTCTCTCCCTCCCTCCCTCCCCCCCTCTCTCTCCCTCTCTCTCTCTCTCTCTCTCTCTCTCTCTCTCTCTCTCTCTCTCTCTTTCTCTCATTTTGTAGCTATGAGGCTGTAGCCGTGGGGCGTGGAACATCTTCAATTAAGGGGGGAGCACTGCCGACTTTTGGTCCCATTCTTTCCATTTCCATTTCCATGCAACGCCTATAGGGATAATGTTAAAATGGCAAAATCAAGGGGGCACGGTGCCCCAGTGCCCCCTCCCCCCCCCCCCGCTCCGCCGCCTATGCCATGAGGGACGTGTATAGGTATGTTAAGTGCAAGGTGCGTTCGCACGTAAAATGTTGCGACACATTTCATATTTGCTGGCTCAAACAAGCACAAACACTCCTTTCTTTTTCTCTCGCAGATATCGGCCTCGGGCTGTTCGTTCACTAAGCAATGTGTTCCCATGCATCTGAAAATCGCATGGTAGGAAAAGGACCCATGCATCAAACAATCGGCGATGCTAACGGAGCTGAGAGATAATTAGGTCCTTTGGAAATTGGATCTACTATGTACATTGTGCATATATAATGAATAACGGGGATGTATTCTGGTATCAGGCGACAGATAGGCATCGCCATTCTCTGGATAGAATCTGCTGACTACCAACATTTACGTTAGAAAAGATAACTGAGGGTCGGAAAATAGTGGGCCCCCTCTGGGGGTAGCTGAGCCCTTCGGCAGGGGTAATGAGGGCGTCTGGGGAAAAAAAAAATTAGGATTCATAACTCGCATAGATTCATAAGCTGCTTGATGTGGAGTATACGCTTGGTTTCTTACTTTGATTGGCTTTTATCTAATCAGACCATTTTTAGAGCTAGCAGGATTATTGGAATTAGGGGAGACATTTGTCTGAGCGGACGCGGTTAATCGTAGACTGGAGACTGAGCCCAGCCAGTGGGCAGGCCACCCATGACCCACCCCCTTCCCCCTCCCAAGCACTCCCTGCACCCGGCTACAGGCGCGCTCCTATGTGAGCTGTCCGATTGCGATATACGTTGCCGGTCCAGCCCGGAACAGGGGGTTGAGGCGTGGAGGAGGTTTCAACTATCCGGAAGATGGGAAGGACGGATTGACATCGAATCACCATTCTGTCCTGGCATTGTCTCGAGAAAGAGGTTACACGTGAAGGTCGCTGAGAGTGGGGCCATGACAATTTTGGATTAGGTGTAAACATGATAAGCTGGGAGTCGATTTGTTGTGATGCGCTACGCCTTACGCGGGCAATTTGTTAGAGCCGGATCGGTTCTTTTTTTCTTTTTGCTGAGAGTGGGTACGACTAACCTGAAATGGAATTTAACTTTACTCCTAGGAGGGTGGTTAAGAATGATTGCGGATATACGCGCATACGTGAGGCACTGGTTTACTCCCAATCCTCCGTTTAATTGTATTCAGTGTGGGGTCTGATAGGTGGGGGTAATGGCTCTGTCTAGCTTCCAAAAAGAAAACATCACCCTGGATACGTGTCGACCACAACTTTAAATGAACAGCAATGGACAACGTAAATGGTTGATAATGACCGTGTTGCCATCTCCCCGTTCGCGAATCATGAAGTTATGCTTCATCACTGAGGCTCTTAGGCGGGTTATAGAGCATGACGGGATGTGGGTTCCGCATTTTCAAGCAATAGTTGTCGACAGTTGATTGATGTTTTGTCAAAACATATTAGCATATACGGCCATTCAGTGTACTTTATGTCCGTCTGATGTGCCCGTCGTTGCGTTTTCGCAACGCTGATGGCGCCCGGTGTGCCCTTCGTTGCGATTTCGCAACGCATGTTTTTTACGTTTCTCTCGAAAAACTTTTGCTGCAGGTAAAAATTATTTTCGATGCCATGCAAGGCCCTGGTAGGAGCATAACATATTTTGATTTCGTCGATTTTCATGATGGTCAATATTCCTGGGCATAAATGGGTTAACACGCGCAGTGGAAGGGAAGGGGGGGGGCGGATTTCGCCCACCCCTCCTGTTTTTCGCCAATAACTCGCGCCGCAAGCATAATATCAATGTGAAATTTCGGCTACCTGTCCAGAATTGAACTGCGGATCTTCTCGTGCAAGAAGTAAGAAAATCGGTTCTCAACTTTTCTAGTAATAGCGGTGTAAAGTCAAACATCCTGCCGCCGCGGCGGCGCGGCGGCGCGGCGGCCGGCGCTAGCCGTTACGCGCCGCCTGAATTGTAGACTGTGCCGGGGCGGGACGGTTCCGTCTTTACATCGCGCTCCTTACCGCTGATTATTTTAGATTCGCGTCAAATTCGGTGAGAAGACTGAGAAATGTACAGGCAATCATATGGTCAAAGAATTTTGAAAATCGGCCGGTAACAACTTGAGTTATGAGTGTGTAAACACAAAATTGTGATTGCCGCGTTTCCCGCGTCGGCCGATGCCGCTTCAGCCGGCGACATCTTACCCTTCGCAGGCTTCTAACTGCCATATTTATTGTTGGATTATCTAGAAATTCACCATACATACTCACAAATGTTTGCTCTTTCGTATAGTGAAAGATTTTAAAAAATCGGCCGGTAACTTTTTGAGTTATCGGCGTGTAAACGCAAAGAAGTCGCTAATATGGCAAATTTGACCACATTTGACCTCATTTGACCTTGAAGATATTGACCTAGGGTCATGAAATTCACACACAACAGAGTTCCCCATGGCCCCCACCTACCCTCCAAATTTCGTCTTTCTAGCTCCAGTGGGAGCTGAGATCTTAGGGGGGGGGCGACATCCGCCCCCCCTTCCACTGGGCGTAGTACTCGCAACCCTTCCACTGCGCGTGTTAAAGAGCGCCGGGCCGTCAGTAGAGCGGCGAGGTGACCATTGCCCCTACATCATATGGTTTACTGACGCATATCTCGAAAAGTAGCAGGGAAAAGCAGCAAAGCACCTATATGGAACGAAAGATGAGTAATCAGAGGCTAGTATAAGATGTTCATTTTTAGCCGCTCGAAATAACGTTTTTATAAAAGTCTATTTAAAAATTTAGATATAATTTTAAATTTAGGTCTTGCAGCTGCTTGCAAAAAGCTAGCTTATCTTGCAGAAAAGCGATGCAATATGTAAGAATGTTGCTGGTACAGTGAACAACAGTGCCCTGAACTAGTCTGACAGAAAATTGCGTTCAAAACGACAACTGGTCAACTAATAAATATCAAGTAAAGATTAGCATTAAAATCGGCAAATGTGGTGGCCACTAGCGGGTCTAAATAGTCTTGTGTTTGGTGACAACTGAACACCTCAATTTCGACCTTAGGGCAAAAATGGCATCAGAATCGTATGCTTTGATCAATTTGGGATCGAATGATACATATTTTGTTCATAGTGTGGAAAGTCACTCTTGGGGGTATTTCTAGCGCTTTTCCGGTCCGCCGGCCCAGCGTGCACTGGGGCGCGGGTTGAAGGTGTTCCGCCGTCACTGAACCAGACACGCCCAGTCCGATCCGATGTGGTTTGAGGACCCCTGTTATTCTAGGATTGTAGACCTCTGGTGATCCGCCCACTGGCGGGGATGGGGTAGGGGGAGCCCACTGGACCACGAACTTGGCAATCTCGTGCACAAACATTCCTCCGGAGGTGGTGGGCGGTGGATCTGGTGCTCCAACGTCTCAGCCGGAAAAGTAGGTAAGCGCAGGCTGTTTGAAATAGAAAAACACTATTCGTTAGATATACGACGTCAGCGACCGTGTTCACGTCGATCATTTTCGTAAGAATTTCCCTGCGCATGAAATTAAGCAATTTTTTTAATCACGTGAACTCCATCGATAAAAACTTTAGAAGTGTCGACGTGACTACCAAATTATATTTACGAAAGAAAATCGACTTGCGAAGTCGACGTGAATACGGCCCCAGGAGTTTGGCACCGGATTCACTTGTATTGAGGTCAGCGAGAGTGTAACGTATACAATCAGAGGAAAGCCGCTGTCGGGTTCTACTGTCACGGTAGATAATATGTTAAATTGATCCTATAGAGGGAGGAGCGAATACATAATTAAGTGCCAAGTCACAGATATTATTTTTTAAGGCGCCAGTTAGATATACATATGGGGGCCACGTGTGTCCCTAGCTGCCACATTTTTTTTCAAGACATTAAAATTGTACGATGACTCGGTGATACATCAACGGAAGAAATTGCCAGGTTAGGTTGTGTGTATTGCCTTTTTCTGTTTGCTCACTGTTTATAGTACTGTTAACTTTACTTAGGTAACGACCACGTTAAACATGTAAAAAGCGTTTTGAAAAATGTGAAAAGCAGCTTCTTTGCCTAATTTTGTGTATAGGTAGGCAGTCCATGATATGTTGGGAACGGATAATTACGGAACATTTATGCAAGAAGTTGTTTTATTACCTAGCGTTAACGCATACATGCATAGCATAGGACAGGCTCAAGGGAGTTGAAAAGGCTTGTTCAAAACTGCTGCAATTTTCAACCGAAAGCGTCATGTTAATATGCTACCGAAAGCCATCAAACCAACGACGCACTCGTTTATTGGTATTTTTGGCTTAACTGTTTCGGTACCTATAAAGTAAACACTGAGGGTCCACCCACTCATACGTTCTCATCAGTTCCAAGTGATAAACGATTGTTTGTACTCAGTCATCTGTGTGCATAAGAACGAATGTCGTCACTCGGCATTACTGGAGTCATTATCCTATTGTCTTTTTGTGCGGTTCATAGTGGAGCTGCGTGAGCAAGTAACAAGCTGAATTGGCTCAAGTGAGTTGCTCTCCGCTTATGGTGTTTGAATGGGTAATTGTGCCTATGGGTTCTGCAAATTAGGGAAAGTATGTTCTAAGCGAGAGAACGTTGCGGACTACGCGATAAGTACCTATTCGGTAGTTTAGAAGTAACTGGTTCTAAATGCACTAATGGTTTTGCTAGGGTGATAGCGATATTTATTATTTAGCCCTAATGATGTTAAATATTTACAACTTACTTCAATGAAATCACAAATTCATACCGTTTAGCACCTATACCTAGCAACGCACTCTAAAAGAACGCACACACATTTGATAAACCAAACAAACCAGTAGCGGCGGAACACCTTCAATTAAAGGGGGGGTCACTGCCGACTTTTGGTCCTATTCTTTCCATGCAACGCCCATAGGGATAATGTTAAAATGGCAAAATCAAGGGGGGAGCACGGTGCCCCGGTGCCCTTCCCGTTCCGCCGCCTATGAAACAAACCCAGTTCACCGCATTCCTTCTGCGTCCGCGCTGAAGTGTTTATCTATATTACTATTTGAGGAGGGTGCGTCTGTCCGTTACCGAGGTCCCGACTTGGTGGTGCTTTGCGTGGACTACAGGCCAGGCCGTTGCACCTAGCCCGGTGAAATTTGCACAACTTATAGATCAAGGATGCGCGACGTGCCTTTGAGGGGTCTCAGCTCGATGGGATTGATAGGGAGCGCGTGGCGCGTGCTCAAAAAGTGCGAATTCGCGTCATAGACTTTACATGTATAAATCGGCGTGCGAAATCGGGCGAAAACGGCTAATTTTGGCCGACACGGGTCCAGTTCCCGTGCAATATCTTGGTGACCAGGGGTCCGACCGGCACGGGGAAAACAGCATCGTGTACAGAATTGAACGGGCTATTGAATGGTGTGCAATGCAGAGGATAGCACGCGCCACGTGCACCGGAGAGGGCACTTTTATTTAAAAAATTGCGGTTTTTGAATGATTTTGGAATTAATTTTATTTTTAGGTGACCGTTAAATGGAGCGAGTTGAATCAACGCCTATTTGCAAGAGAAAGGTACCGCCTCTCATATACAAATTGTGAAAAGCTGATTGATCCAAATCAAGGTGGTGCAAATCACAGGAGAAAATGGTGTTTGTCAATTTTGTGCCACTTTATTAATCACACGGGGTTTGCTGCATAACCTGATACCTTTGGCAATTGAATGTGGTACCATTGGATAGAGCATTCAATTCTGTCCAATATACACTCTTCATTTTTGCATGATTAGCAACAGTATCCTTAAAAATGTAAATGTTCCAAACCATTACATTGTCATTTTTAGCGAAATTCATCGATGGCCCTCAAAAGACTTCACGCCAGTTTTCGAATCATTCTAAAGTAGAACGCATGATAATACGACACGGGCACCTCGATGCGATGTATCTTTTTGTTTTCTTACAAAATGCTTGGCCGTCAAAAAGCAATCGAACGAAATGGATATCTACCAACCAAATCGACACAGACCAACCCAATACCCACGGGTCAAAAAATCCCCCCTTCGCGTTGCGGAGCACGCGGGTAACCCTAGTTTATACCTATCGTCCCCCACATAGTGCAGCAAGGCCATCCACTTCAGCTCATCCCATACCAGACGTATGATCTCATATAAACACAGCTTTAAATGACCTTGGGGATAGGCTGTGGTGACTGCGCCGACCCCGACTCGAGTTTCTTTTATCCACCGCGCTGTATAATGAACGTGAGTTTTGTGATAACTGACTCGCCAAACCTAGAGCTTTGCGAGACGCTATATATCGTTACGCGTGAAGCTAACCACATGGAGGTTTATAAAGCATAGGTATAGCTGGTTAGAGTGAGGATAAGAAGCCGGTAAGTCTACCAACAAAGTGACTGGTGAGTAGTGAGTGAGTACCTACGTATTTTCACTAATGAGTATGCAATCACTAGTGAGTTTGCATATAGCATACCCACTGATCAGCCAGTGAGAATGAAACATCCTTATCAATTGTTTTTTTTTTTTTGATCAGGGTAAGAAACGCCTGCGAAAGGTAGCATGCTTGTGAAGCCGTTTCGAAAAGATATAAACATGAGGAGTTTTGAGCTGTAACTTTTACCTTTTCTAATTTAGTGACCAATGCTATACTGGCGGATCCATGGGGACATTTCGCCGTGTTGTTTTTTCCAAACCCCATATCTGTTCTCCCGTGAATTTCCGACAGGTTGAAAATAAACCTTCAAAAAAGGTACAGCGGGCTTTCTCAAGTTTGTCTGTCTTTGCAGATCAAGAAACGTCAGGAAGAAGCTCACTAATACACATATATATTTGATCAGGATTGAATGATTGGATATTTTTTATGGGTTCCTTTGTGCTTCCCGAAAATTCACGGAAAACAGATATCCCGGCAGTTGCTGGGGTATTTCGCCACCCACCGTTTGCTGGGGGGGGGGGCGTTAAACGCCCCCAGCCGATAACTCGAAAACCAATAGGCGCAGCGAAACGCACGAGGCGGCAAACGAAAGAACGCGACGAGACGCTTCAAATAAGTACTTTAAAGTTGAATTTTGAGGTCACAGGTCGGGTCAAGGTCAGGTCAAACACCTGAAATCGGGCTTTCAGTAGCATTGACTTCAGGACTTCGCAATGGGCGCCTCTCGTCATAAACTCTGTCAAAACGGTGCACAATCCATCATATAAGGCCTACAAGAGCGTCAGCTCCATGTAGGGGTCAGTCAAGCATAGGTCAGGGTCAAGGTCAGGTCAACCGGTAGGCACATATCCCCAAAAATTCAAAACTGATATTCGCAGCCTGTGACACATGTTTTATGGGTAATTTTGGGCGTAGAACACGATGGTGACATTCATTTTATCATATGTGTACGTGTTTGGCTCAAAAAGTTCAATTTAAGAAATGCATGTATCATGGTCGTGAAGTAGTCACGAGAAATTGCCAAGATTCAATTCAAGATTTTGGAAAATGCGGAACGATAATCAATAATCGAAGATAGCCATTTGATTGTTCATGGTATTGGCAGTCTAATGGCGTTTACGGCATGTCTGTATGTCTATTCTGTGATTTTATATGATTTTTTGAACATATGCCGTTTTTGGTCGAAAACTCAGAAATCATGACGTCACTAAAACCTCGATATCTCAAAAATTTTCCGACCGATTTTTTTTTTTTAAACTTTGTCACAATAAACTTCAATCAATTCCCTACAGGTACCCAAAATTTGGCGCGCAATGGCCCGGCGAAAAAAGTGGGGGCGTTTAACGCCCCCCCCGCCCCCAGCAACTCGCGGGATATGGGATTTGGAAAAAAACGCGTCGATTTGTGGCATTTGATATTCTTTCAGAAGAGGTCAGGCCGGGCCCCGGTATGTCGACCAGCGCGGTCCCCGGTCAGTCCCAGTGAGCCTGGCTTGAGGAAGGCGAAGGACGAATATAAACACATGACTAGACTATTTACGACACATACCGCGGTTACGATACACTTATCCAGCTAACGTAGACTGCAGCATGGGCTAGGAGTAGTGATGTCAATTACCGAAAATTAGGGCACCGGTACCAAACCAAACATCAACCAAAACATTATGATGCTAGAAAATAACCTTATGCTTATTTCTGAAGACGACGCAAGTCAAAATGTGTCATAATACCTACCTCCTTTTTGGAATTTTCACATCATTTCATTGTACATGAGCATAAGGACATTTTGTAGCATCAGAATATTCATAGGATAATGCTCAAACTAGCCATAGCTCAGCTTCAACCAACCAAAACCATTGGAAAATACCAAAACCGAGCCAGCTTGAGAATGCGAGGGAAATACCAACTTTATACGAAATTCGCAGCATCTCATACAATAGTGAGGTTTTATAATGCCAACAAATTAAAAAAAAAAAAAACATTAAAATACCTAATACCAAGTTGGTATTGGTTTGGTATCGATATACCAAAAAGTCGGTATCCGATTGACATCTCTAGCTAGTATGATACTATATTTGAGGGATAAGACCTGAGCACTGTGCAGTGGACTCGTTCCGCACAGTGGGCGATCTTGAACAGGAATTTGCTGCAAGCAAAGTATTTATGATTGATCATCCTAAGGAGCTCGCTTGTCATTTACATAGCAGCGTAGTAACGCAATAAGTTTATCTTTTGCGCCAATTAGACGTTGAATTCTGTTTACTGCCCATACCCATCATGAATAAACGACAAAGAGGTAAGCATAAGTTGCCTTTGGGCATTTTCGCAGAGATGGCTTGGTAGGCCTGAATTCTACTCTCGCTTTTTTTTTAGAAAGACTCTGAGAGCAACAGGCATCACAAGCATGTGTTCTATGCCGCTTAGCATCGCTTTCCTTACCCATACACCATGAACACAAAACTGCCCCCGGTTAGAGGGCAAACCCGGTGTAAGAGAGAGAGAGAGAGAGAGAGAGAGAGAGAGAGAGAGAGAGAGAGAGAGAGAGAGAGAGAGAGAGAGAGTGAGTGAGTGAGAGAGAGAGAGAGGGAGAGAGAGAGAGGGAGAGAGAGAGAGAGAGAGAGAGAGAGAGAGAGAGAGAGAGAGAGAGAGAGAGAGAGAAAGAGAGAGAGAGAGAGAGATAACTGTATTTATGGACTCCACAGGGGAGCAATGCCGCTTCAACCCTATTGGCCGTAGTGTCTAACGGTGGCGGCCATATTGCGCAGACCAGAAACCGGCTGCCGCCTGTGTTGAGGAATAGGGAATTCGGGACCTCGATTTACGTTTGCGGCCGCCGTATCCGTTACGTTCAAGTTACGTAGATACGGAACACGGCGTCATACGCAGAATTGAGTGGGGAACACGGTCGTATCTTCAGAATTCCTCAAATTCACTCGCCTGACCTACATTTGCCCCGGCCGAGGGGGTTGATTGAACACACCTCGCTAATGCACCGCTAATTAAACTAGAATTAAGCGGTAAAGTGGTCGTATGCGGCAAAGTATAATGCAGAGTGACTGGTAGGAGCCCGCTGTAAGGGTCTCAGGTCAACCGGTGACCTCTGAGGTCAGGTCAAGTGATCTAAGGCACGGGTTCGGTTTTTGGTAAATAACTTCGCCAAAAATGGCCGTAGAGCCGCAATTTTGGCATCATCGTGTTCAGCTAGCTCAGGCGCATCGAGTGATATACTTTTTGTTCGGGTCAGGTCAACTTAGGGTGTTGACCTCAGGTCAAGGTCAGGTCAGCACCCCCAGGTCACGAAGTTGGTCGAAAGAGGTCATGTCGCATATCATTCGATTCGGCAGGTCTTCCTGAGTCCATTGGTGGCTTTCCCGACTCGCTAGCTCAATTTGATCGGGAGTTATTGAAGAAAAATGGTGACCCTTGTGACGTCACAAATGACGTCACGCAAGGGCAACAATGCAAATATGAAGCATAGAACCTTGCAAAGAGTGCATGAAATCATGATTTTATATGCTTGAGCTAGTTTCAGATCATTCTCAGCGCCAAAATAACAATTTTCATATTTCCCCATTGACTTATAAGGGTTTAACGTATTAGTTCCTTATAGCTGGTGATTTTTTAGGATTTCATCTTGTTCTCCACTCAATTCTGCGTAAGATGCCGGGTTCCGTGTCCACATAGCTTGAGCGTAACGGATGCAGCGACCGCAAACGTAAATCGAGGTCCCGAATTCCCCATTCCCAGCACAGGCGGCAAGAAAACTTACGCTTGCATTGCATCACTTGTTCCCGATGATGTCATTGGCCAACCACGTCCATTATTTTCCCCTCAGGCGTTACCATGGAAACTGGCGAAGTTGACACACAGCCAACCACTCCCAGCGCGAAGAAAACTCAGCTGAGGCCAAAATGGAGCAATGGCCTTGAGGGAAAACTAGCTCTGATGGCCTCGATGGTAACACCATTTGAAGACTTCGCCATGGCTTCAAACATGTACTTTATGGGCGGTGGTGAGTAACAAAGTTAGGAAACAGCCTTTTCAGGCCACACATAAACAGGCGCGCACACAGGATTTTTGAATGGAGGGGGCACGACCTGCAAACCTGCCCCCCCCCCATGCCGAAGGGCCCCAGGCCCCAGCCGAAAACGTTGTCCTATATGGACTCCTATGGGCCTGCTTGGGGCCCGAGGTGGGCCCTCCTACAGTCTTTTCGTTTTTTCAGCTCATTTCAGCTCATTTTTAGACGTTCTTCGGTGGTCTAAGGATTTTTAGACCCATTTGAGAACCATAAATGGATCCCCCAATTCGAATGGGGAGGGCACGGACCCATGTGTCCCCCCCCCCCCCTGTGCGCGCCCTTGCATTTAAAATACATACGATAAATGCACCGTAGGCGACAGGGTACTAATCAAGGTCGATTATGATATATTCATATATTGTACGTATTCTGATAGTTCATTCTAAATTGTGCTCTTTAAAATGTTTGTAAGCTAGTTACTTAATAACTACATATTTTATGCATTTTTTTATATGCAGTTTGGTGTAACATAAGCCCTACTGCTGATACCTCTGCGTATTTTTTTTTTCGCAGGGTTGATCTTTATACCACTGTATCTATTTTTCCTGGCTCTGATTGGCGTGCCAATGCTTCTATTGGAGGTGGGAGTTGGACAGTTTTCCGGACGAGGAACATGGTGCGCCTGGAACATAGCTCCGCTGTTCAAAGGTACGCGAGTTTACACTGCGGGTGTTTTTCGTGTTTTTTTTAGGCAGTGGTAAGGCTTTCCTTTAGGCAGGTTCAGAATAATGATAAGGAGTTATGAAAATGTCAGCGGGTACTTTTCAGCACGTGCTGAAATGAGATTATAATTTGCACAATATCAATGCCTTTTATTGACACTGTTCTCTGCAGTGATTTGATGTGGAAATAGACAAACAAACATTGTCAAACATTACCTACATAATTTCCGGATTCCGTAACATTTAACATGATTCACCCCCCTTTCTCTCTCTCTCTCTCTCTCTCTCTCTCTCTCTCTCTCTCTCTCTCTCTCTCTCTCTCTCTCTCTCTCTCTCTCTCTCTCTCTCTCTCTCTCTCTCTCTCTCTCTCTCTCTCTCTCTCTCTCTCTCTCTCTCTCTCTCTCTCTCTCTCTCTCTCTCTCTCTCCCTCTCTCTCCCTCTCTCTCACAGGTATTGGCTACCTGGTCACCATCATCAACGGCCATGCCGCAATTACGACATTCTGGCATCTGATGGCCCAGTTCGTCTTTTGTTACGACCTGGCCTACCTTGGACCTGAAAAAGCCTCAGTCTTTGCCCACTGCGAGAATTTGACAGAAAATGCTCTGGAGGGAGACTATGGAGATATTTACATGAATGTCACGTATGATGAATATGGAATGGTCTCCACGCCCCGCTGTGAAGCGAAGACGATTTTCGCGTAAGTGCTATGTCCTGGGGCGGTAACGTAGTTTTTTCTGTCTAAGGCCGGGTAAATTTGATGAATGTAAGTGTAACCGATTATATGACTTGATAGGTGAAACTTTTTTAAATGTAAAGGCACTGCACGGAGAAAATTTAAAACACTGCTAACGGTGTAAGTGGTTAAACTGCATACCCACGGGTGTTTTTGAAAGGTGTCAGATAACACTTATATGAGCGTCAAGATACACCATTGTACTATCCCTAAGGGTGTCCAGTTTCTGTACTGTGGTGTCATACACCCCAGACAAGGGTGCGTTTCGACTCCCCTCAGACACCCTATTTACACTTATAATGGTGTCACCAAGATAACACCCGTAGGGATACTGGGGGGAATAATCGCTTGGGTGTGTGTTAAACTGCATACCCACGGGTGTAATTTAAAGGTGTCACAACACAACGCTTATAACGGTGTCACCAAGTTGACACCCATAGGGATACTGGGGGGAATAATCGCCTGGGTGTGTGTTAAACTGCATACCCACGGGTGTAATTTAAAGGTGTCACAGCGCTGCTTACACTTATAACGGTGTCACCAAGTTGACACCCAAAGGGAGCCCACAGGCTCCATATACTCCATGACACCCTGTGGGTGTCATGGAGTATATGGGCGGCTCCAGTGGCGCAGTTGGTACACGGAGAAAATTTAAAACAACGCAAATTCAAATTCAAAATTCAAAACAAGTCGCATGGAAACATGGTTTCATTAGGTTGCATGTGGTGGGATTCAATCGGATCTCAGATCCTGATTTTGGTTTGTTATAAGATGCAATGAGATCATAGATTCAGAGATTCAGGATACATTTTCTACGTGGGATATAATGGGATTATAGATCCAAGCTTGTCGTTTGCTTTAAGATCCACTGAGATCATGGATTAATCACTCGGATCCATGCACATGTCTACTACATATCAGCCCCCCTCCTCCCTCTTAAGTCCGTATCAGTTCAGTGTTCACCGAGGTCGCCGTAGGACGCTAGCTCTCTCTAGCCCTATTCACACACTTCGCAGTTCATAATCGCCTGTCGTGCCTACCCCCCCCCCCCCCCCCCCCCCCTCCCTCACCACACACACCTTTTACAGCTCTGTTCACTTCAGCGCGGCCCGAAGCTTGATCTCTGAGCCCTTCTATCTCTTTGCCCTTTGCTTCAGCTCTTTGAAAACGGAGCGCACTTGAGTGGGTACATGGCAACTGAGCTCCACTTCGAAGACCGTTTGCTCCATGAAAATGTTTATGTTCTTGGCTTTTCAGAGTCAGAGTCAGAGTCATTTATTAGAATTCTCCACATGGTGGGTATTACGAATTCAGTCATTGTACACTGGTAAAAGCATGGTTAAAAATGAGACACATTGCAAAGACCTAAAACATTTTGTTTAAAACACAGCGCTGGTGATTCACTTGGGCCTCTCCGGTGCTATCCAGTCTAACTGCGTGTTAATTGGGCGTTCCAGGCGGATGCAGCCCTATAAGTGAAGCTCCGCTGGGTTCTCACTAGGCGGCATCTGGGAAGATCCAGGGAGGCATATTCTGGAGAAACACGAAAGGACGACACTTAGAAATAGAAACACGTACAGACTACAGAAACAAGTATAGGATGACTCCGTGGCGGGCTTGAGGTGTTTGAACATGAACACCACTCCCCCTCCTGCGGTATTTCGCAGATCTTAAAAAAACGGCGGCGCCCTGCCCACTTTTGTCCAAGATTTTTGCACATGTTAAAATTCATACCCAGGTCGCTCAAGGTCAGGTCACCAGGCCACATCAAGTGACCTCATCCCAGAAAATTAAGAGTTTGTTCGCCAATGCTACACTATCTGAGTGATCACTTTCAAATTTTAGGCGATTGATAAGATTAACAGCATGAATAAATACGTATCTCTGAAGCTTGATATCTGTAACCTGTAAGGTCAAGAATGCAAACATTATGCATAAGTCAACGGGAACAAATTGAAATGTGTTCTTTTGGACGAAAGTCATACTTAACGCCCCCAAACATTGAATAACAGAGAAACATTACACACTGAATGGGAAAATTGCACCCGTGACTCTATTTATACCCAAGACGTGCTATCAGGTCATGACATGTATCCACTATCCACTATTCAGTTTTTTTTACAGTAACTTTTTATAGAGCTAGAGCGATGAAAACACATAAGATGTGTTCAGCTCGACAATACTAATCGACTAATTTGTAACATGACCTTTCTGGTCGGGTCATCACCATAACCCTTGGTCAGATTTTCAAAATCACATTTGACGGTCATATTATTTTTTAATTAGACCCGTCTCAAATCGAGGAACACGATGCCGGAACATTAAATGTCGTGTCGGTTTTGAATCAAATGAATTGCTGCAGAAAACAATTTCTGTAAAACCGTTTATTTCATGGGTTTTCTCCTCTGTAGGGCAATTAGTTGATCTTAGATCAAATCTGAGGACGCATTTCACACCCACAAAAAAACGTTGAAAGAGCTACTGGGTGTACTTTTCGGCGGCGCTGTAGCTCTATTCGTTCACAAGTTATTCGCCGATTCGTCAACAAGTGGCGTAAGAGGCAAAATTTGTCCTTCGATGAACTTTGGTGACCTGACCTTTGACCTAATCTAAGGCTCCCTTAATATCAGCTTTGGGTTACGTTGTTTTTAACGCCCTTTGGAATTTAAGCTCATCCTTCAGGCGTCCATTAACCCGCGCCCTGCTGGGGGTCCTGGATTTCCACGCCCTGCTGGGGGGGGGGGGGGTGTTTGAACACCTCCCCTTGTAACTCGGCTCCTGGGCCACGTAGCGATACGCGGAAGGCGGCGTTCGAAAGAGCGTAAAAAATAATGACGAAATCACTTCAGTCAATTTTTTGGTCAGGTCAAAGGTCAGGTCACCAGAGGTCATTGAAGGCAAAATTTCGCCGATTTCCAGGTCGAATGTCGAAAACTTCCAAGAAGCCAACGCATAACTCGGGAACCAATAGAGCTACAGCGCCGCGGAAAAGCGCATTCGATAGCCCTATTAACGCCCTTTCTGAGTTATTCTCTCAGATTTGACCTAACGTCAACGGTTTTGCCTGCAGGGGGCAAAAACTGCAAAAATAGCCGATTTTTTCGAAAACAGTTTTTCTGCAATAACTTTTGACCCAAGCCTTGTACGAGCTTACTTTTACCGGCATCGTGTTCCTCTTGTCAAGACGCATCGAATGAACTATGACTTGACCTTGAAAGGTCAACTTGAAAATTTGACCTCAGGTCAAGGTCATGACCTGACCGGAAAGGGTCATGTTGCATATCAGTCGATCCGTATCGTCGATCTGAACACATCTAAGGCGTTTTCATCGCTCTAGCATGCCTCTATCAAAAGTTATTTGCGAAAAACTGTTAGATACCATTCGTGACCTAAGATGACCTCAGGGCATAAACAAGGGTCACGGACACCATTTTCAAGTTCAGTGTGTCTAAACCACTTGTAATTCGGTGTTTGGGAGTGTTTATAATGTCTTTCATCCAAAAGAGGCGCATTTCAATTTTCTCCCATTGACTTATAATGGGGAGGTCGCAAAATTGACCTGACCTTAGGTCATCGATATCAAAATTCTGAGATATACATTTTGTACATGCTATTACTCTTAGCAATCGCTGAAAGTTTCAAAGCGATCGGTCACTCGGTGTAGCTATGACAGACATTGAAAGTTTTTATGAGGTGAGGTCACTTCAAGTGACCTGGTGACCTGACCTTGAATGACCTTGGTCTGAAATTTTCACAACATGTGTAGAATTGATGTATGGTAAGGTGTACCAAAAACGGCGGCGCTCCGCGCCGCCGTTTTTGAGATATTCGCGAAAAACCACAAGGGGGGAGGGGTGTTCAAACACCCCCCCCAGCAGGGCGCGGGTTAAGGGTTTACTTCAACACTGTTAAGACACCCTAGTAACACTCGTAACGGTGTAAAATTGATAACAAACACTGACATTGCAGGGAATGACGCTCACATGTGTGATAAACTGAACACCCACTTTCATCATTGGTGTAATTCAACCTTGTTATTACCAACAATTCATTTAAACTACCAGTGATACATTTGTACCTGACACCCTGTACCCAATGGGGGAATCAATAAGTTGTATGCATACCTATATGATACAGCGTTATGAAATTACACACAGAATGTAGGTTGCAGAACAAATGCCACCACATTGCATCGCAAATCAGTCTAGCAGCACGGATACGCGGAGCATAATAGAAATAAGCAGAATCCAACCCCCTCCCCCTCTCCAGTGGGGTTACGAATTCGGATAAATACCCAAGCAGGGTGCGTGTTAAATTGCACACCAACACAAGAGAAAAAAATGTGAGGATATATTTTTCGGATATTAAAGAACCCCTATCGGGAGTATGCCGCCATCCCCCCCCCCCCCCAGCGGCCAGTACCATGTCTTTCGGAATCCGCAGCAGTGCCATTGCTAGCCAAGAATAGCTCACCTTTGCTAAAACTGGAGCTCTTCGAGTACCAAGACACCACTCACGATCACTTCTAACTCACTTGCACACACTTATACTCCCAACACACCGTAATCCCACCAGCGCCTCCGCCCGCAGTCGCGCACGTTTCAAACTAGTATGGCGGCCGGCCGCATGGAAGCCAACGGTTGAACATGGGCTACTAGGGCTGCATTATGTTCCCGATATTTTCCCGACGCGTTTTCTTTGAAGTATTGTATATGAATTTATTTATTTATTATCGTGGATTTGTTTATTTGATGTAGTTGAAGCAAATCCATTAGAATATAAATGCAAACTCTGTACACCATACATGGCACAGCAGCGCCATCTACCAAATGCACCCATAGGGAATTTCAAGGGTGTCTGACACTGCAAAGACAGGCTGACGAAGAAAGACGAACGTCTTTCGAAAGCTCCCGTAACTAATAAACGAAGCTGGTAATTTGAATATTTTTATGCTAGAATGTCTCTGTCCCAGCTAAACAATAAC